CGAGGTTCTTCCATGCCTATGTTATCATCGGTTTGTCTTCCACGCCCGGGGCCTTTCCCGGGAGAAGGTAGAGGCGCAGACAGGGCTTGGGTCGGATTGGGGGCTTCGCTTTGGAGTATGGTAGTTGCTTCGCACTTCCGACAAGAGCTGGTTGACACGTGTGTCGTTACACTAGGGACCAAAGTGACAGTTACGGATCGTGGAGATGGATCCTACGTGGTTGGTTACACTAGGTGTCTAGAGCTCTTGAATCGTGGTGCTGCTGCGCCTCTCTGTTTCTACGTGCTGGAGAGAACTTGGATGAAAGGGAAGATGTGACGCAAGACTCATTCGCACTAGGTTCTTTAGCATCCTCTCCGCACCGACCTCACAGTGGGAAAGGCTTCATCGCGTGTTTCTTCAAGTTTGACGTCGGTGACAGGTCTATCCCGTAGCACGATCTAGCTTCCACCTGCCACCCGTCGCTCCATGGGAGGGGACTGGGGGGCCGAGGGGGGGTTACTGCTTAGATCGTAAGGGAATTGGGGACCAGAGAGCCGGGGAGTCCACCTGAGGAGAATTCACAGATGGAAGAGGAAGAGGAAGTGAGGGTGGGGCTCGGGGAGGGTGGTATCGTCTTCTCTAGGCGTCGCTAGGATGGGAGGCTCAGTGATGTTACGTGACCACTGACCACTGTGTCATTCTGGCACAGCGAGGAGGGGCCGCGAGCGATTGAAGGTAGTAAGCATCACCCTACTTTACTCTACTGGTCCTCCACCTGCAATGTGTGATGGTGGTGCCCTGACTAGTGAGCCAAGTCTCACGGTCGTTGCGGGAACCGAAGGCAGATGCGTGTCATACTTGACACAAGGATGGCATGGGGAAACCTTCTTTTCTTTCTCCCCTTTGGAGTCCAAAGAAAGCCAAGGTTTGCTGGGAGTGGACGGGTGATGTTGCGCAGGCTTGATGTCAGCGATCGCCTACGAGTTCCTGGCTTGAGGGGGAGGGGAGATTGTCTGTAGTCCGCATAGCCTCTAGACTTTGTTGGTTCGGTTCAATTTGCCGCTACGACACATATCAAATTTCTGTCTTCCAACGTGAAAAGTATCGAGATGGGTGTGTTTTCCCTTCTTTTCGTCTTGACAGCACCGACCAAAACTTCAAGGTCCTTCGGCTCGGCTGTTATCTTCCGCCCGTCTTGGGGGCGGAGACTGTCCGATTAAACGAGAACGAACCTCACGGTCCCTTGAACACCCTCCACCTTCACTTTTCCCAACTCGCTCAGATCTTCTCCCTCCCCCCCCTCCCCCGGCCCATATACTCGCTCACTCTCGCCCCTTGCTCGCGGTACGGATAGAGTCTACACTAGAGAAGGGAGGGGAGGACCCGCTAGTTTAAACTTGGTGATCCCCGGGAGTCCGGGCCGGCGATGATCGAGGGATTGGGGTGACGGGGTTGATGCTAGAGGATTAACGTTCCGGGATGATCAGCAGCAGCTATCCTAGCTATCCTAGCGTGCCTTTTGTCAGATTCAGTGTTTGTCTCGCTTATTTCGTAGCCTGGACCCTTGATCGTCGATATCTACGCTCTGACCTTTTGGGGGTTTAGTGATGATTGTTGTTTTGACAAGGTCGCTTGGGTCGTTTGCGGTATTTGCGGTGTTAGGCGCTAATGTGTGTCTGTGTGTGTGTGTGTGTGGAGGGGGGGGGGACGATGGAGACTGGAGAGAGGGGCTATGGGGTTTTCAAAACTCCTGTGAGAGTGTCGCGAGTTGTATTTGGCCGCGGATTAGTTCTGCGCGTGGCGAAGCGTGTAAGAGATGGTGATGGTTACAGTCAGCCCACCTTGCCCACTTCACCTGGGTTAGACCATGAGTTTGTTTTTGTTATCGGGACTGGATAGTCTCACCGTGTTGCAGAGACATCAAATCCATATTACGCTCGTATGATTTCGACTCTGTGGACTGATGTCCAGCGATCGCGTGCTCGTGTCAGTGCCCGTTCATGAACCATGTTTGTGGGTTTCGCGCTTCTTAGTGTGCGATCCAGCTGGGTCTCTTCTGGATTACGAGTTCATCATTACATTATGTAATCGACCGGGCAAAGGTGTGTTTCTTTCCCTTTCTGAACCCTGTTCCGTGGGAACAAAAGGAACAGCCTCAAAGAGGAAAAGTTCTTACCAGAGAAGGAAAGAATCAAAAGAAAGAGCCCGAAGAGTGGCTTTGCCAATCGCGGTGAGGATTTGAGCCTCACGCGGGGGTCGAACCCGCAACCTTGAGATTAAGAGTCTCACGCTCTACCGATTGAGCTAGCAAGGCGGGTCTTGTGAAGTTGTTGAGTGGCACCTCGAGTTGAGGATCCGAGTAGCTTAGCGCTTTGGTCGCCCAAGCCGCGCCGGCGACGAATTCAACGTCGAAAGCTCCGTTCTTCTTTTCCCCGGCGCGGAGGGGGCTGGGTCGTGCCCGCGGCGGCAGGCCCTGAGAGAGGAAGCCTTCGGGACGAAGGGCACGAAGGTCAAACCGTCCTTGGGCCTCTCTCGACTGACAGTGGGGTTGCTTTCGAGACGGCTGGCCTGCTAGTCATCTGCCCCGGTCTTTGCTCTGGTGTTGTGCATCGGCATCTCGTTGGCTAAGGTACCTAAGCGAGAACAGGCTGCAATGAATGTTGAGGCTTCAGATTTCAGCTAAACCACAAAAAAATTCCGCTGTTCCAGAAACGGTCGACTTGGGTTGATTGGGTTGAGGGATAGTACCCGGGTTTCTAGATAACCTGCTCTCGATTGCCTGCGACTTTGTAGGTATGATGGAATGAAGACCTGTCTAACTGGACTGTTCCTTAGCAAAGGTAACTGCCGCTTCCTCACAGCCGTAACCTCCTCTGAGATACTTGTTTAAAGGTCTCTCGTTCAACATCTGCCAACTACCACTTGGCATTCGTCACTGTACTCGGAGGATAACCATGACCGCACGTGCTCCACGTCTATAGTCTTCCAACTGGTCGCTCAAGAGTTTGACACTTTCAAGCCTGTCAAGTGAGATCACCTTTTCCTTATAGCCATTCTTCTCCCAAACAGTCTCGTACACCGTTGCGACAACGAAACCGCCAGGGCGGACAATCCTCACAAACTCGTCAAAGGCTTCGGGTCCCACGTGACCCTCAGTCATCGTACCGACGCAGACAACAACATCATAGTAGTCAGATGCCTGCGTCAAAGGCTTGGAGAGGTCTGTCGTGCTCAAAGACTGGTAAGCGCCAGATCTCTGAGCGACCTTCAGCATCCCTTGACTGAGGTCTATGCCATCTATCTGCGTGGCTCCGAGCCTCGCGAGATTGACTCCAACAAGGCCTGTTCCGCATCCAGCGTCTAGGATTTTCGACGTTGCAACGGCAGACGGACCGACATACTTGATCACGTGCTCGCTGGCAAGGACTGGCGCGACGTAATCTTGGTCTGCGTCTAGTAGGTCGCGATTGTAATTTTCGGCCCATTCGTCGTAGAGAGATTGCGTCTCCGCGATGCTGGTTAAATTCAAGGCGCGCTCAATAGACATGTCGGCGAACAACGATCGGCGATGACCTCTTTCCCAGATAATTGGTCAAAGGCGGGAGCTTAATGTTGTCATGAAGGGGAAACTTCTTGTGATGGTGGAAAGAATCGTCCTAGGCCGTTGAGGATGTCAGATGCTGTACTATTATCAAGCAATACTTCAACACTAAGCGAGAATGACGTTGAGTAGCGCATTCAACAACATGTAAGATATCTTACCTTATGCTGATTGGCGCTGCTGTCTACCTGAGCACGTGTTGAAAGCAGATCAACAACTTTCTACCCAGTAAGGATCACTTTAAGATCCTTTACTAATCCCATAATTAACTAAGCACACACTGAACCTGGGGAAGCCCAATCAGCGTCACCATGTGGCTGGCTCCTGCTGACTGATTCTTGTTGCACCGGCTCTTCGGACTCTCGGACTATGCGGGGTCGGGGTGTCCGTGGCTTACATTAGACACCGCCAAAGGACTTTCGCACTTTGCGACAATATGACGATCTAGGGGGGGTCTGGGACCTTGTTTTCTTTAACTCATAACAATTGGAAATCATTGACATGTATTCCTATTCAGAGGCAAACGCGGCTTGAGGATCGGGTCCATAAATACCAAGGGCATACTTCCAACCAGACACCATTTGTTGTTGGTGCAAGCTACCAATCTTCCCTGTTCACAAGACGTTACAATTCTCCATCTTGCGACGAGAAAGAAGCTTTTATCCACGCCAAGATACCCACTACACTGTGGTCATAAAATCTTGCTTGACGCATCCCATCCTTCACAACCATGCCAGTCTACCCGAGAAACCAGAGGCCCCTCCACGCGGCTCTCGCTGCGGACCGACAACGTGCTCTCGAAAAAGCAAGAATGAAGGCTGCGACAGTCGAAAAGTCGGAATACAGCTTCGGCGGTCGTAACTACTCGAAGACACAAGAAAACATGAACGTGGTCGGCACTAGAAGAGCCAGAAAGTGGCTCGACAACTTCCACATAACCTCGATAACCTCGAACGGAACATCAAAGCCTCGCACATCAGACTACCAAAGCCTGTAAAGAGCAGACTCCATTCACAGTCATTAGTCGACCTTCTATCACCCAACGTTCATACATCATGTGCGATATGATTTCCTCTCAGCAAGCCTGGTGATGCACCAACGGGTAAAAGTTGAAGTTCAATCGTTATCGCAAGTATCCGACAGACGACCACTTGATGACCGACAAATACACGAACATTCTGGAATCTATTGCGGCACCATTGCCAGCTTCATAGCACTACAGGCAGCATAGATTACACGGGATCATACGGTGAAGAAAAGAATGAACATGAAGGTATTCGAGGGCGTGGTGATGAGTGCTACAGAATTATGCTGGCGTTGGCCATTGGGACAGGACCGATCGCGTTTGTTTCACAAGCGGTAGTACCAGCGACCAGAGCTATGGGTATGAATGAGCGATCCTTTCGGCTGCTGTACTACTATTTAGGAGTTACGGGAAAGTGGCTAAGGGAACTAGGAGCCACGGACGTCGGCGTAGGAACTTTTTTTGCGGATTCATTATTTTATACCCCGATATCAGGCTTCTAATTATAGGATAAAAACTGAAATCCTGAGAAAAGCCATAATTGCGAATTCCATCATGCCTCAACTGAACTCTTGGTTGCCAAACGCCTTGGCCCCATAATAAGTGTTTCCGCAGCAGACTATAGCCATAAACTACTGCAGAGTTCCATTCCAGCATGCCATTAGATAGGCCCGACGTAGAGTAGTGTCAGAGACTCCTCTCAAGTTCCAAGATGAAGCTCCGTGAAGAACCAAATCTCTGCCGTGTAATGACTAGGATGAAATATGCACCCATAACCACGGAAAGCCTTTTAGTCCCTGGGGCAAGCCTGGTTCATAACTCTCGCCAGTTTCTCTTTCGAAGGATGCTGTCTTGCATCAACTCTTCTGCAGTCATCTCAATCAGTCCTATGCGCCATTTGGTAGATGGGTTCGCAATTCTTACCTAGTCCTGGCGACAGCCAATTCTCGGTCCATAACTCCATTGGACGTGAAGTGTTCATAGAAGTCCCTGATACTATTGCCAATCCCTTCACGTCCCAGCATCCTACCGATGCTTTCCAACCCATACTTTCGCATGTGCACTCGATCCTCGGGACGAAGCTCTTCTTCATAGTATTCCCAGGTCGCTTCGCGTGGCAGCCAATAGACTGTTGCAAAACTGCCAAAGGGACTTCGTGTGTTCTCATCTTCGTGCTGGATCTCCCTGTCGTCACAATCAAAAGCGTCTTCCCAGGTGTCCTCCAGCCGGTCGATAAGGATAATTCCGCGGGAATACCACTCGTTGTTGAAGTCCTCGGGAAGAAACCAGAACTTGGCGTCCTCAATGTTGTCTATTACGGCACGGTTCCGGACTTCGTGTCCGTGATGGCCAATGCAGGCCTTTGCACGCTCTTGAGAGGTCAGATGTGATGGCAGAGGGAAGCAAACGACCTCCATCCTGTCCCGCCCCCATTCGCCATTGTGACGCCTGGTGCGACGGGAGAGAGCGTGCGCCATCTTTGCGGCACGGGTCGGGGTTGCTGTTGGGGTGATATCGTAGACCGCCATACCAAAAGGTGCCTTTTGCTGGGGGGACGGATAGTCCCAGTCGTCTGGCTGAGCGATTCTCGGTTTCTCCCATGCCGCGAAAATCGGAGTTCCGTCATGACTCGGCGCCGGTGTTACTACTATTTGAATCGGGATAAGCTTTTTACGTATCGATCTCACCGGTACGTCGTAAAGTCGATATTCATAATCGTTGTCGTTTTCATTCTCCGAAGGAACGTCCGGGAGTGGGTCGTAAGACAGTCGCTCGCAGACGCGACACATTGTTGTAAGCTTTTGCCCTTCAGATTCGATCCAGACGGAGCATGATGATTGAGCTGAGGAAGATGATTAATGGTAGTTATACAGGGACTGATGATGAGAATTGTGCTTATATCTTTACCTAGGCACATATAACTGTGACTGTTGTCGGTTTATTGGCCCCGTGTGGGCCTAGTAGGATTGACGCTATCACGAAGAGGTGGGGGGGACTGGTGCCTAAAGCCGGCGAGACATCCGGTTAACAGCTGATCGATGACTAGTCGTAATCCACAAAAACTGGCTGTAGGTTGCTATACTTAACCACAGTCTCTGGATCAAGTTGGTGAGTATTGAACCCTTGTAAGGTCTAGACTAAAATCGATGCATATAACAAGTTCGTCATAGCGAGACATCGGGTGCGAAGTCTTTATGCAGAGGCTAGAAAAAGAACCCGCTTAGGTCGTGGGGATACGAGATCGACACGCTGCGATTGAGCTGATCCCGTTAAAAAGAAAGAGGAACTACCGGGATGTTGGACCTCGAGGTGGATTGAAACATAATGTTATTGTGAACTAGTCATCTGTCCCAAAGTCTTTACTTAAGTACTCAGACTGTGAAACCGCACATTCAGCCAAGTTAACATTCAGATGTTCCTCGATTGTCTAAAAGGCAATGATTGTCGGCAAAACTGTGCACCTCCAGTCTGTAAAGCGATGTCGGAGTTGTTTTGCCAGTATTCGTGCGAACGCTTGTAGCTTGTGTGATCGAGGAACGATGGCGTATCGAGGGCCTTGTAATGACGTGCGGCTTGCCTTATCATCCAAACGTGGGTCAGCAGCAGCAGCAGCAGCAGCGAGTATATCAAGTCAAAGCTAGCGACAGTTTGACCGAGAGTGAGAAATAAACAACTATATCTTTTGCAGCAGTTATTAGACATAGGTTCGTTGTTGCCGCGAGTCTCGCATCACCCCTTCAATCTGGATTAATTGAAGAAACTTAAACGCAAATCACACCATGTCGGCACTGGCACCGCAAAACCCTGTCTCCCACGTTGACCCCAAAAAGCTTGAGGCTATCAGAAGAAAGTATGCCGAGGAAGCGGAAAAGAGGCTGAGACCAGAAGGCTCTGCACAATTCCAACCCCTCAACGAAGCTTCAGAGGATCGACTCCACTCGCTTCTCGACGATCCGTGGGCGGACCACGCAAGACTGAATGCCAGGCCCTCGCCCTTCCGCGTCACCAAGCACACTCGATTCTTCGTCCTAGGAGCTGGGTTCGGAGGACTCTTGTATGCTATAAACCTCATTGAATCCGGTGTCGCGACCGCAGACAAGATCCGAATCGTTGATGCGGCTGGCGGCTTTGGCGGGACTTGGTACTGGCATCGGTATCCCGGACTGCACTGCGATCTCGAGAGCTATTGCTATCTGCCTCTGCTCGAGGAGACTGGCTACATTCCGACAAAGAAGTACGCCCCGGCCGCGGAGATCCGACGGTATGCGGAACTCATCGCGTCGCGATGGAAGCTCAACGATAAGACTCTGTTTCGGTCTGACGTGCAGAGCGTGCAGTGGAGTGACGACAAGGAGCTCTGGAATATCCGTCTCTCTGAGAGACGTGGTCCCGGAGAACCTGTGATCAAGCAAGAAATCCAGGCGCAGTATGTTTACCTGGCTGCGGGTGTTCTCACAAAGCCACAAGTTCCAAAGATTCCCGGTCTCCTGTCCTACAAAGGGGACATATTCCACACTTCCAGATGGAACTACGACGTCACCGGCGGATCTCAAGAAGATCAAACACTCGACAACTTGCGAGACAAGAGAGTTGCAATAGTTGGCACGGCTGCAACGGCCATAGGAGCAGTCCCCACGCTCGCAAAGTTCACCAAAGAGCTGTTCGTGGTGCAGCGAACGCCAGCCTACGTAAAAGAACGCGGCCAACAGGATACGGATCCCGAAACTTTCAAAGCTACTGTCGCGAGAAAGAAAGGTTGGCAATTTGAGAGGCAGATCAGCTTGAACAGACACATGACCAACGCCATCTTGCCAGGCCAGCCCAATCTGGTCAACGATGGCTGGACCGATATGCCCGCTTACTCCGCGGTCATGGGCTCACCCGCCCACGGCATCGTCAGCCCCTCCCAGGAAGACCAGGCCCTAAGAGCCACTTGGTTCCACGCCTTGGACCTGCCACACATGGAAGGCGTGCGCTCTCGGGTCAGCAGCATTGTCAAGGATGAAGCTACCGCCGAGAAATTGAAGCCCTGGTACCCTTCTTGGTGCAAACGCCCCACATTCAGCGATGAATATCTACAAGCTTTCAACGAGCCGCACGTACATCTGCTCGACACCAATGGCAAGGGACCATCTCACGCCACAGAGAGAGGCATCGTCGTCGCTGGTGAGGAATATCCTGTCGACGTCATCATCTTTAGTACGGGTTACTCTGTCACCGGTGGTCGTACGGGAGGCAGTCCAGCAGAAAGAGTCGGCATCGAGGTTCTCGGGCGTAATGGAGTCTCAATGGACGACAAATGGCGACGCAACGGCGCTGCCACGCTACACGGATATCTCACGAATGAGTTTCCCAACCTCTTCTTCTCCGGTACGTCTCAGGGTACCATCACGGGTAATAACGTGTTCATGTTGGGCCTCATTGCTCGACATGTCACGTACATCATCTCCGAAGCTGAGGGACGAGTGGGTGCTGGTCAAAGAGCCATCGTTGAGGTGACTCGAGAGGCAGAGGAACGGCACAGTCTCGAGGTGGCGAAGAGGGCCCCGTTCTTTTCGTCGCTTGCGGGATGTACCCCGGGATACTTCAACGGACACGGCCAAGCAGCCTCAGATGACCCCAAGGAGAGATCCAAGCAGGCACGAGGAGTCGTTTGGGCTGAAGGCACAGTTTCTTTCTTGGAGTACATTGGTAGATGGAGGAACGAGGGCAAATTGGAAGGGGTCTCCGTTTCAGCGCGACCTAGAGTCGCGTCAAATGGCATTGAAAGATTGTCTAAGATTTGATGCAGTATCTAAAGCTATTCCTAGACTTCAAGGACACTTTTTCATCAAGTCATGGGGCAGTTGAAGTAACCAGAACTGGGCTCATTGAAAACCAAGAATAGTAAAGCCTGATACCCCATCGAGCGCTCACAATATGAGACAAACCTAGGGTTCTGAGTGACGATGTAGCCGTAGTACACCCATGTGATCAGCACAAGCAGAAGTTATACTTGTAGCTGTCGGCCTAACTCGACTAGAAAGCTAGGCAATATACGTGACACTCCAGTGGGAGGCTTTAAGAATATCTCTAAGCATATCTCTAAGCGTAATATACGATAGTTCCATACGATAGTACATAGGTGCAATCTTTCAACGCTAGTAATTGTCTGCAGAATATCGCTGCCATTATTATTAGAATTTCTACATCTCAAAGTTTGAAACGTAGACATAGCTGATTTTTATTTCGATTTGACGACTCCGACCTGATACAATACATTTGTCTCAAATTTGAAGATCACAGCACTCTATCCTCCCAGTGAAGCGCCCTGTCCACTCGTAACTCGATAAGCGTTGAGTCGTGCGGACGGCATGCTACGATATCGTAATGTCGAACAGCAGAAAATGATTGAGAAGTCGCCAAGTCATATGTGGGGTCTACGAAATTGAGACGATGACGGACGGAAAGACTAGTTCTGAAGGCTCATCTGATGTCAAATACGTGGGACGTCACGGAAAGTATGCAGGATATTGGATGCCGAACGTCAAGCTCAAGTCAAGTCGACTTTCCAAAAACTCCGCCTTTGTACCTTGAGTTCTCATGTTCTCTGCGGCATGACGAAATCAAATACCTAGAACAGAGATTGAATATTGACGTTGACTCATCACAGAGACTAAAGTGAACATCATGCCTCGGAACACTTCTGAACAAGCTCGGCGGTGACTTTGTAGGCTTCGGCGCAACTAAGGCGCCGTTCGGTTTAGACTTTACCATCATCAGCACCCGAAATGACGTTGAGCTTTCCTCTTGATAACAAGAGGCGGGCTTTTTCAGAAAAGCCGAAGGAACCGGAAGAGCTTTTGGACAGTTGAGCCTCGGCCCGGGTGCAGTGGGAAAGTGGGAAAGTATCCCGGGAGTCGTCACTCTGCCGAGTCCGATGCCTGCGGTCTTCGTGTTCGCGTGTTGAACTTGCTTTTCCAACGGAGTATAACGGAGGTGACGGCAATTTTCAAACTTCATCGAGATCAAAACTTAAGGATGGGAACGGAAACCAACGAACATGATCATTGTTGAGTTGATAAAGGGTGGAGGAGACCCAAGTATAAGACTTCGGCCCATCCCCCTTACCAACTTCATCTCTTGGGAATGCAGATTCATCACATCTTCCAACATCATTGCGTCCGAAAAGCCAGTGACAGCATCCACACCCTCATACCACCATCATCATCGCCTATAAACCTGCTTACAATCAATCTGCATAATCAAGCATTTTAAATTCCCGAGACTCCCGTCAATCTAAACTCTATCCGCGCAGTTGGGACTCCCACCTCGCACCCGGAATCCCCGCAAACTCAAATCCTGAGAAACACACTTTAGCCGTCTTGCTTTATCCCACCGACCCTTGCCCAACCCTTTACACATAATGAAGACTTTCCACCTCTTCCTCTTCGCCACCCCCATCCTCGCGGCCGTAGCCCCAGCCATAATCGCCGAGCAGTGCGGATCCCTCGGCGTAATGACATACACCGCCGCATCCCTCGACACCTCCGTCGCCGGTGGCACTGGCGTTGATCCCGCACAGATCCGCACGTGCCAAGATCACCCCCTGGGCCCGGCCCCTCGACCCAAACACGCCGTCGGGCCCCGTCCTGCGTCCGCAGACAGCAAGCAAGGAGGAGTCAACTCCACCACCGTAAACCGCTGGGGCTGGGGTTGGGGCTGGCGGCACGGCGGCGGCGGCGGCTGGGGTAACTGTTGGGACGTCGATCCGGGCGACTATGGCTGCTCCGGGGGCTACTGCTACAAGGCGTGCGATAGCGATGGGAGGTGGTGCTGGACTGCGCAGAATAAGGGGTATGGGGACTGGCAGACGTGCGATAGGGATTCTGATTGTGCGAATTTGGATGATGTTGGATGTGGCAAGGGGTGTAAATCTTGTGGGTGTGGGTGTTAGTTGAAAGCCTCATTGCTTTCGTTTGAATACTTTCGAAAGCCTATTCTAGTTCATGGTGTGTGTCTGTGTGTCACGGGGCCAGGGATTGCGACTGAGTTCTGGTGTTTGGGTTCTTGGGATTGTTTGTATTTAGTCTGGTTAGTTCAATCTTACTAGGACGGCATTGATTATCAACTTTGGGATTTCCCCTGCTCGTGATCGATCTGGGCTCTTAGTTGTGACCTCGCTTTTGCACGTGCCATCGCTGCTTAGATGACCATCTCTATGACCATCTCATCCCAAGATTTGACATAACCGGACGCGGCAGCGACGCATGCTTGACGTTGGTTGAAAATCTGTCACAATCACAAATCAGGAAAAAGATTCTCATTTCAGATGGAGCAGAAGTCTCCCTCAGTCGCAGCCTGAAGACCACATGGAGACAACGAAGTTCCATTGGGTTATAGGAGATGCCATTATTTTCACCCTAAAGGCAACGCTATTTTCCTCGTGTGGGGAATTTGATTCTGATGGACCACAACATGACGTACGGTAGACGATACCTGACATAGAATTGGATATCATAATAAGGAAATCTAGGAGCTTCTAAGGAATAAGAAATCTACTACATGCTGGACCTATGCCTGGAGCCTGGGTTTTGCTTCACTTCAGGGACCTATGAAAGGGCCCAAATTCACCGACCCGTCGATATGACACCCAAGAAATTGAGGGCCAATAACCGAAGGATCTTGCATCATTGTTTCAACCTCTTGACAACTAGAATCGACTAGTGGATTATAGGCGAAATAAATCGGCCCTGCCCCACCTCTTGTTGCCATGGCATCATTCGAGAGAGTCGAGATATGTGACAAGCCCTCGGTCAATGATGGCACTTCGGATTTGATAGACGACTGTGTGAGAGACCTTGGGTTCTGGAACTCGCGAATCCACTTCAGACATATGGCGATCTCCTGCTGGACGCTATCGCAGGTGTGATAATGTCTCTGCGAGTCCAGGAACTTGCAGAATCTACCAAGTTCATCAAGTTCCTCGCGATCTAAGCAGTAGTCAGCTGTTTATTCTTACTTGGCTTTACGGCAGCTCCGGCTGAGCAATGTTAAGGACACGTACAGGGCGAAGGCATTGCCTCTAGAGATGTCGGTCCGAAAATGATTTTGTAGACCTCACGCCACTTGTCGGCTCCATTCTCCCCGCGCATATGTCCTTGACAAGAGCTCCACTGGGCGCTGTCCATGGTATAATCGATGACAACAGATTGCCTTTGGCATTGAACTTCGGAATTGTAGTGGTCTTTGAGCTTTTCTGACGATGACAGTCGGACTTGACACCTGCTACATTTGTATCCACGTTCGAGATGATTGCGACGAAGGTGTTCCCTATCATGACATGTAAGCCGGTGAAATCTTGTTCCATCTGTACGTAGTGTTACGCATGTCAGACGGGAGTGAAGGAAGCTTACTTGAGCCTGTGGAAGCTTTTCCAACCGGCTCCTGCACATGACTTCCGCTTCCCCTTGCAAAACTGCTCCGGGTTGTTCTTGTAATAAGGGCATGCAAAAGCGCCCTCTCCATCTTGACTAGTCGTAGGCGACTCTGAGGCTAAGTCGGAAGAATTTCGCGCACTCTGTGTGACTGCAGCACTTTTTCTTGGCGACGTCTGCAACCTACACCGTTTGCCTTCAGGCATCTCGTTGCTGGGGCTACAGCGCCGCTTCCCATTCTTGGTGGTTTCAGGAACAGTCAGACTCGGACGAGATGTCAGGGGGCCTCCGAAAGTAGAGGGCTCGTCTATGTTTGGTGACCCGAGTTGGCCCATGTCAGGCGAGATGGTGTAATTCATGCCTCCATATACAATGTTCGACTGATTCATGGTATGGTCGTAAGGTCCAAGAGAGAAAAGTGGCTCTGTAAATGATGTAGGCAAGGAAAAGTTAATCATCTCGTCATACTCCGAATTGTGAGAGCCGGTGGACGAGTAGGAAGAGTTGAAGTGTGGTGCAAGCGTCGGAGGTGGCTGACTGCGTTGTGTTGGGCTTGGTACTTCGACCACATTGACAGTGATAGATCGAGCTTCATAATTCGAGGTTCCTATCGATAGCTCATGTCTGCATGTCCAACTTGACATTTCTCCTCGAGGAGCTGGCTCTGTATAGCCTGGGTCGCCTACGCACTTTTCATACATCTTCTCGAGGGTGGAGACAACGCCAGCGCACGATATCCGCTTAGAACCGTCAACTTCCAGCATCTTATCTTGGATCAGGTCAAGCAAGTCTTGAGTGAAGGGACTCGCTTTCGGGGCTCGACGAAGTCGACTGATCCACTGTCCAAGTCTGCATTAGCACCCATGCGTAACACGAATACCCCGATCAGATTACTCACGTGAGAGACAGCGGCCTTGAGTTTAACTCGGGTTCCCTTTTCTTGGTCTCCGGAAACCTCGAAAAAGGAGTTATCGAACCGTTTACCGGCCTTTGTCTGGCGATTGGCGCTGAACTTCCTCACCCCCTTGCGGCCCAGAGTCATCCACGTAGCAGCTACGCTCATGACACAGCCTAGAGACCAGATATCTGCCTTTTGGCCATCAAACTTGCCAACGTCATGCTCTGGAGCACGGTACGTCGGCGAACAGCCTGCAGGCCTATCTTCTTGTGAAGGGTGTGTCCCGCGGCCGATCTGGGACAGGCCAAAGTCGGCCAGCTTCCACTGCCCATTTTCCACGAGGATGTTTTCGGGTTTGATGTCGCCGTGGTAGCTCCCACTGACTTCTTCAGCCGTTTCGTTGTCTCTTTTGCTGGAGCGCTTCTTCTGTCGGCAATAATGGATCGCCTTCAAGGCCTCGGCGACACCAAGCATCTGCTTCGCGGTCAAGGTGGCAGGCTTCACCGCGCTGGCCGAGTCGCAAGGCAAAGAGGATGTCGGTTCGGTGAAGAGGCCGTGCAGGTCGTGTTCAGCCCAAGGAGTCACCAAGTAGTAGGTATCTCCGTGCTTGAAGGCGGCAAGTAGCTCAATGACATTGGGTTGATCCGGGCCGCCAAAGGTCTTGAGGGCTTCCACCTCGCGAGCATAGTCCTCCGGTCCAGCTTTGAGAAGCTGCTTGACTGCGACTGTAGAGACGGGAAAGTCGTGATGCCCGTCGTGAAGGCGGGCCTGGTATATGCGGGAGTTTTTGCTGCAAGCATTGCGAGGCGACCGGATTCCGTGAGGGAAGTCTGGCATGACGAAAGGCAGAATTGCATCCCCCGAGAACGCGCGAGGTTTGCCGTCGAGATCAGCTCGCGCAAAGACAGGAGCGAGAAACTTCCACTGTGTCTCCTCGAAGAGTATCGACTCGTAGTGACTGAGTCCCATCAAGGATAGGTCAAAGGTGGACCGGGTGACCATGGACCGCACCAATGTGCCCGGCGTTTTTCCCGACATGTGAGAAAATGCCAATGGGAGTTGCGCGTCGCCGAGGCGATTCTCTCTGAAGGCTATGATGGCATCGACTCGGCCGATCAAGGCCAGGATGGCAAAAGTCTTGGTGTGCGTCTGGTACTTGTAGATTGTTGAGGCATACATGCGACGCATGAAGTCAGGCCCAGGATAGGAGGTCCGGAGAGCCCCCAATATCGACTCCTCGGAAATAATCAGGTTGATTTCCGGCTCGGGAAGGAACTCCTTGGGGGAGTCACCGTTGAGACTGAAGGAGCGACACATGGCTCCTTCCAATGCCTCTTTCAGAGGCTTAGTAATCTCCATGGTGTCAGGCTGGAGCACAACTGATGGAAGGACGGGGGTTTCATTTTCGGGAGTAGTCTCGATCATGCTCAGGTTGCTGTAGGATGTGGGCTGTAGATGGTTGCTGTCTAATTATTCCAAGAGATCAAGGCTGGGCGAAGCGAAGTGGAGGGGAATCATGGCAGAGGGGGAGCAGCAGCACTTTAAATGGAAAAAGAATGGCACATTGTATGGGAAACAGGGCGATCGAAAGTGACATTAGTAGCACAAAATGCAAGATTCGGTCAAGCATCTCGCATCACTTTTGTTGCGTATCTGCGCATCTGCGGAGGATTCGACGCGTGAAATTTCATCTTGAGCTCTCAAGATTGGTCGGGTTGAAGCAGGGCAACCAGGCGTCAAGCACCAGCTAGCACAGCCTCAGTGCCTCGACGTAACGGTAGTCGTGTCTCAGTCGGTTAGTGGTCGCGGCCAATGGCGTCACAAAACATCAATGGTTCCCATCAATGGTTCCCATTGATGGACCAAGGGAGAGTGGTTCGCATGAGCCGCAGGAAGGTGAAAATGAACGTGAGGAATGCTTGATGAGTGAAAGTGTGGTGATGGGGGAGACGGCAAGTGAAGTTGAAGGAGCTGTTGGCAAAGTCCGAAGTTTAAGCTTATCCGGGGATTAAATCGGATGTACCTAGTAGGTAAAGCTTCTAGGCTGGTTAGTCATCCCAACCCCACCATCCCCTCCTCGTAGGACCTTTCTCTCATATGTACTCACGCTTCAACTCAAACTCACTGTCCATCTCTTGAGATGAGTGTGATATGAGTTTCTCACCTCCCATCTCATCTCATCATAAGTCAATTGAGCATCACAGACGCTCAATGCCATCATGACAATTGAACACTCAATACAGGAAACGTCAAATTCAGTCCGAGGACGGAGCAGAAGTGAGAAAGTTACCTTAGATCCTTAGATAAGCCAACCAGACGGTGAGAGCGCCAAGACTTGCCAAGGAAAAAATCACCTTCTGGGCGCCTATCACCTCGCACCACGCGACCCTCCCGCCCGCTGTTGCTGCTTTTTCGCTCATTGATGTAATCTGTGACCAGTTCTTGCCCAGTCTTGCCAGTGTCTGTACGAAGTACTTCCTGCCGTGGTGGTTTTCACCCCGCTCCTGCTCTGCCTCTCTGCTCACCTTTTTCCTTTTCTCGGCGCTCTGCCCAGGAAAATCCTTGACTCTCCCAAGGCCAATGCAAAAATCAACAACAACGACGCAAGGTCGAACGATGAAGCCAGCGACAAAGGCGTTGGTGATACCTTCTACCACCCATCGGCCCTAGCACACTCCTCTGCTTCTCCAGAACTCCATCAGCTCTTTCTGCCCATCCACCGTCCAGCACAGCACACCACGCACAAACGTACCGCAAAGCAACCCGCACCCCACACCCCGCCCGCGAACAACCACGGCGCCGAGACCAAAAACCTCACCCGTCGTTGCCGTACTTCCGTGCTAGACGAACCACCGACCATCGTCCTGCGGAACCTGCGCAGCATCCCCTCAGGCAGCGCACGCCGCAGCAGAGCATAGCAGACCAGAACCCGACGCGCCCGCCCGCGCTTTTTTCTCTTCGCGTCCCGGGCCCCAGCTCTTTATACCTATTCGGCCCAGGCCCCAATTGTTCATCACTGTCTTGGCCCTGCGTGGCCTCCTGCCGGTTTCCCGTCTCCGGGTCCCCTCAACACGCTTTCCCCTGAACACTTGACGTAAACCAACTCAACCGAGACGAAATCAAATCCAGTCCATCCCGCCGGCCGGTGTCCCCTACGGATACACCCCCCCTAGCATGAGGCTCTCGTTCCCGAGCCTCATGGGGACCTCCCTCCTCACGGTCCTCACGGGGTCCGGGCCCGCTCTTGCAACGGTCCCCATCCTAACAGAGGTCTCTCTAAAGGGCTGTGCCGATGTAGACTGCCCGCCCGGCGCCGTCGACGACCTCGTCGGCGAGTCAAACTGCACCCTCGCCGGCTCCGTCCTCCGCCGCGTCGGCATCGCCCCGGAGGTTCTCGACATACCCATAGACGACAACAATACCACCGACATCCGCAAGCTCTCTCTCACCGTTGCTACCCTCGCAAACTCCCCCGCCCCGGCAAACTCTCCCAGCTGGATAAAGAAGCAGCTCTACACCCAATCCTACTACCTCGGTGCCCCCGCGGGACTGAACCTCTCATCAGAAAGCTACCCCAAGGGATGCGCCCTCATCTTCCAACACATGTTCCAGACCCTACCCACACCGCACGAGGTACCCGACCTCGACACCACAGACTGCAGCTCCTGGCTCCAGCAGTCCTGTATGGACGAGATCACGGGCTACGTAGACGACTTCCGTGCCGCCCACTCCAAAGACGAGACTCTACCCCGGTGCCAAGAAATCGCAATGTACCTCGAGGAGCGGACACGCACAGACAAAGACTTCCACTGCAACCTCGTCGCCGGCGCCGTCAACATCACCGGCGTCGACGTCATCGGCCCCGACGCCCCCACCGTGCTGGCGCAGGACGCGGGCGACGCAGACGATAACAATGACTGCCACCCGACGCTGCCGCAGTCGTACGACATGTACAAGCTGACCGACGTGGAGCTGATTCTCGACGGAGACGGCAGCACGACGAAGCCGACGGGCGGGCTGAACGGGTATACGCCCGTCATGAGCGTCTTGTTTGACAAGCTCCTGTATTCGCAGTGGATCTGTATGAAGACGATGAGTGAGTACGACCAGGAGAACGCGAGCGCGAGGACCAGCACGCCTGTAGTGGCGGGCCTGATTATGGGGCTTGCAACCTTGGTGGCAATCATGATGCTATGAACGAACATAAAAACCATAAAAACACGGCGGGAGAACGAGAGAGAGAAAGAAAGAAAGTATGTCTGTGTGCGATGCGAGAACGACTTTTGGGTCACGAGAGGGAAAACAGGACTGGCCCGGATATTTTATGACTTTACGCGATTATATACCCCAATGAAACCACGGCGGAATAGATATGACACGCCTTATTCAACCCAAATGCTCTTTGCCCAAACGCCGATACACATGCCTGACAAATTGAAAGAAACAATATGGTATGTGATGTAGTGATCTAGTCACAGGTGTAATGATGTAGCAACAGTATTGTGAACGAGTTTAAATGACGATGCCGCGCTGCGCCCATCCGCCCTTGCCCTTCCAGGCAAAGAGGATCATGCCACACGCCACCCAAACAGTGACGGCCATGGCCCAGAACGTCGGCGCGTAACACTGCGCGCCATAGCAAAAGACGTCTCCGCCACCGCCGCTGCCGCCGCCGCGTTGGGGAGAGTTCTCGGCGCCAGATTGGTACACGGCCGAGTACACCAGTCCCCAGAAAGTCGAACCCAAAGCGGGGAACATGGCGACGATGCCCCAGTTTGTCGCAAAGTTCTCGACGCCCCAGATGACGGTGATAATGATGGGCGTCAGGCTGAAGACCGCGCCGTACCCGGAGCCAATCAGGCCGGACACGATCCAGAAGCGCTCGCCGTGTTCTTGGATGAGGCCGGAGGCCAGGGCGACCAGGCCCAGAGATAGGATAATGGCGAAGAAGAGCAGGAAGGCGACGCGAGAGATGGTGGGTCTGCCACGGAGGAAGGGGGGTGTGGAGGAGACCTGGAGGTGCTGCGTCTGCGGCGAGGGCGCGAGGAGGTCGGTCAAGGTGCCGGTTGCGAGGCGGGCAATGGTGCTGGTGATACCGACGATGGAGACGTGCGTCGCGGCCGAGGTCGGAGGTCCGACGTAGTGCATGGTGGGAGGGTACAGCGTGCCGATGACGGTGCCGAGGTTGTTGATGAAGGCTTCGCCGGGTCCAATCATCAGCAGGAAGCCTAGGGCGAAACACCACATGGTCTTGTCCGTGAGGAAGCTCCTGGTCTCGGCGTTGAGAACGAGCTTCTTCCTGAGCTTGGCATCGTCTTCCGCCGGTCCCAGGACGCCGCCGTCTTCCTCGTCGTCGATTTGTCCGATTGCGCCGTAGTTTCTGCTGCGCTCAAGGCTGCGGGCGCTGAGGAAGGAGGTGCTGCGCTCCAAGAGTCCGCTGCGCTCGAGCTCCTCGACGGCTTCCTCGAATATCTCTTCCTCGTCGACGACCTTTAGCGTGAAGGCGCCAGTCACTCCGACCACCAAGAGCAGGATGGCGAGGAAGACGAAGAAGTGAAAAACGTCCAAGTCTCCAGCCGAGCCGTCCGGCAAGCGCTCGTAAAGGACGTGACTGCCCAACTGACTGAGCCACATGCCGCTCAACCCAAAGGCGGCAATGGGCACAGCCAGCGCCAGTCCGCGATGCTTCCCCTTGCCAAAGTTCTTGGCGCACGTCGCGACGGCGGCGAGGTACATGGAGCAGGTACCGACGCCCACGCAGACGAACGCAAAGATCATGAGCGGGTACGTCCAGTCGGCGCCGCCGCCGATACGCCTTCCGGCATAATCGCGCAGCCCGCCGAGGTTCTCCGCCTCAAGCTTCCGGTACGTGCCCGCAGCGATGGCGTAGCCGCCGCTGAAGAGTATAGCCGCCAGGAGGGAGAGGGGCGGGGTACCAACGCGGTCGCAGATGTAGCCGAGGAAGGAGACGGGGAGGTAGAGGGCGATGGAGCTGCTGATGGCGAGGCCATTGACCTGGAACTGGGTGTAGTGCAGGCGTTCCTGAAAGATGTGTCCGTACATGGAGAAGACGGTGATGGAACCCGCGCAGAGAGCCGAGACGAGTGCGGCGACGAAGGAGATGGCTCGGAGGGTGGTGGCCGCACGGCGGCTTGGACGTTTCCGCCTCGGTGGCGTCTGGGAGTCGAAGGAGGATCTCGACGAGCTGAAGCGGCTGATTGTGGAGGAGGCATCGTCGTCGTCGTGAGCTCCCGCAACGAGGGTCCGGTCATCGGACGGGGTTGGGGTGTTTGCGGCTCGCGCCATGGTGACTGGCTGGCTGTGTGGGAGGTTCAGGTGTGTTCGGATATGCGTGGAGGAGAGAACGAATTGGTGAATTGGAGATATGCGCCGCGGTCGGCTATGAGTAGCTAAGGGAAGAACCGACAATTAGACAGAAAAAGAAGGGCAGTCGCTGTTCATTATTGCGCAGATGGAAGAAGTGAGGTGGCCGGATCCGCGAGACTCGAGTCACAAACGACCAGGATCAAACATGACGTGCTCAAGAGGGAGAAAGAACGAGGAGAGGAGAGGAGAAGTCTCGGGTTTGCGGATGACGGATGGATAGTAGCGGACGGAATCGAACTGACTGGGG